GGGTTTAGGGTTCAGGGTTTTAGGAGTTTGAGGCTTAGGCTCCAGGCCGCAGAGTTCCTGTGACCCTCAGGATCCTTCTTGTCTCAACCTTCCTGTCGGCTGCAGGCCCGGTCGGAGAGTGCATTCTGATTTTCGGGTTAAGGATTTTGGTATGGTGCAGCAACCGTTACGCAGCATACTCTATCGACCGCCGGAGCTTGCAGTCGCAGTGCTAGTCGTGGCCGTGGCCGCTGCCGTGGTCGTGGTCGTCGTCGTCGGCATAGCCGTAGTCTAGTCACTTGCCGCTAGTCGTAGACGTAGTTGTAGCCTCGGCCGTAGTCGATGTGTGTGTGTGTGTGTGACTAATGAAGGCGGTTGGAATCAGTAACAGGGACGTCGTCGCTGTAGCCCTGGCCCTAGTCGTAGTCCGAGCCGTTTCAGCAGTCGTTGTCGTAGCCTGAGTCGTAGTCGTAGGGAGAGTACACGCCGGAGCAGGAGTAGCAGTAGCAGTAGCAGTAGCACATTGCGCCGGGAATTTAGAACAACTATTTGGCGGAACCGTCTTGGCAACCGATACACATACATAGGCATATGTCTATGTATAGTCTCTACAATTCCGAGCGCAAAGCTTCCGGCCAGCTGGCTCCTGCCTGTCCTTGCATTGGGCCGTCTACGCTTCAGACGGCGTGGGTGTACAGTGGTTGGAGGCCAGGGTGCTTCGTGTTCTTTTCTAGAACTGAAGCCCGCAACCCCTTCAGCCCTGAACACCTGTATCCTAAGTTCTATATGGCTCTCCAAAACTGAAGCTTGCAGCGCGGATTTGTGAGTTTCGCCTCTGCGTGCTAGGGGTGTGTGGTTTCAAGTCAGTTCTCGTTTGGGGGGACGGGGATCGAGTCGTAGGCTCTTTGGCCTTGGGTTGAACCTGCGCTGTAAACTCCTAGATTCTAAACACGAAGCCCCTAAACCCCCGAGCAGAGAATATAAATCGGGCAGAACCCTGGTTCTGTGCGCCGGAACGAAAACAACGTGACCTTCTTTCTTACCGTCGGGCTTCGGAGCTTGGGTTAGTGCGTAGGCGTAGGATGGTGCCTTAGACTTCGTTTTCCTCAGTAATGCATACATTTCACAAACCTGTTCCGATTGGTTGCTTAAACGCCTGAGCCCTCATCCCGAAGAATTAAACCAAGCCTGCAGTCCGAAGAACCTCTGCAACATAGGCAAGAGCCACAGACCCAGTGATGCTAGCCCGTCTAGACCCCCTTGCCCTTCAGAACCCTTCTAGAATTCCTTATCGAACCCCTTGTAGACCCTAAACCCCTAAACCCTAAACCCTAAACCCTAAACCAGGTAGGTTTTGCAGTATTCGTGCCCCGCTTCAGAGTGTCGGACCTTCGAGTTCCGTCCGATCCACCATGGACCGACTGGGCAGCAGCCGTTCTTCCTCTGGTGCAAAGGGGGTGTTGATGCTTCAAAAGCAGTAGGAAACTCGCCAAAAACCAATATTGCGAATGCTTCAGGCCCCTACAGTAGACGTCAGCTATCTTTTGCAGAGTTTCAGGTATATGTTGTAGAGGAAGCGTCAGCAATTACAGAAAGCCGAAGAATGCCGCAATTTCTTATGCTGTGCCATCAAGGCAAACCTTGAAAGCCTGCCACGATCCGAGTTTGGGTCCGGTCAGGTTGCTGGGACTGGGTTCGTGGTGATCGCCAAGGCCTGTTGGTGCTTCCAGGGTCTGCTTCTGATGGCTGCCAATGCCACTGTGGTGTGTACCTTTCTTCCCTTTCGGACTCTCATCGCCGCTGTTACTAGCGTACCAGGCATGACAGTGGTTATTGTTGCAATGTCGATCCTGGTTTTGGGGCGTCTTTGACATCTAAGAAACAGAAAGTGTGCCTCCTCTCAGGCCTAGCTGTTGGCTTCTTCGCCCCCCGGCCAATGACGACAGAGAACGACTTTCGAATCTCCTACAGCTCAGTCGCCTGAATGTACGGCTTCTGGTACTTCTGGTAGCTGTCGCGGTACTGGGAGCAGCTGGAGCAGTCGTCCTTGTCGTCGTCGCTCTTGAAACTTGGAACAGTTCGAGGTTGTGGTTCGGGGCCTTGGATGTCTTGTTGAGACAGAAGGCGTACATTTGAGAGCCCGTTTAAGCTCCCCAGGCCTTTGAACCCCAAACACATCGCCTGAAATCAATGGGCCCGAAGTCCTTTGGGAGGCGTTGCTGTCGATCCTGCAACTGTTGCTTGCCAAAGGCGGGGTCCGTGATGATATCGGTGTCGCACTGCAGGGTTTGCGCCTAGTGATTCTAGTGGCCACCGGCTTTAGCCTTGTGTCAAAGTTCAAACAGGCAGCGATCTCGAGGTCATGGTTTGCATGGTGTTGCAAGGAGGACGAAGAGGACAGTGATGATGATGAGGGTGATGAGGATGATGAGGATGATGAGGGTGATGAGGATGATGATGATGATGATGAGGGTATCGATAAAGGGAGACTTCATGATTCCGCCGTGCTTCTTCTTGCTCGGTGTTTGGAGCTTGGTGTTGTTGAGCAAGACCAACACTCAACAGCAACCATGAGTTATTACTGCACCTCACCTTTCGGACCTCTCGTTGAGGCTGGGCGTTGTTTTACTCGCCGCAGCAGCTGTTGCAGAGGCGCGGTATAGTCTTGTCTGGGGCTTAAGGTTTGGAGTCTGCCGAAGTAAGATGAGCTTGCCAGCCCAGAGACTTCGAACTTCCTGTCGTGCGACAAATCGCCCGACGAACCCTGCACCAGAAACATCCGGACCCCTGGGGCCTAAACCCTAATCCCTAAGCCCCTAACTCGTTTAGCCTAAAGGTTTTAAGCCCTAGGTGCCAGGCCCTAAACTGGCCCAAACCCTACTAAGCATCGTAGACTTCAATGCCTGAAGCCTCAACATAGAAGTCCTATCCGCAGAGCCTTGAAGCTTGCACACCCTAAAACCTAAACCCCAAACACTAAAACCTAAACCCTAAACCCTAAACCCTAAAGCTTAAACCCTAAACCCTAAACCCTTAAAACCTAAACCCTAAAACCTAAACCCTAAAACCCTAAACCCGAAACCCAAAACCCTAAAACCTAAACCCTAAACCTTACTCCTCAACCTGAAGCCCTTGAGCCCTCCAGCGCCCACGCCCCAAGCCACAAGCCTGTGTCTCCGAGAGCCCGAAGCCTAATACTGAAGCCTAACATTATGCCCCGAAAGTCCCCATATAGTTAGAGGAAGTCCCCCAAAAGAGTCTAATAATATACTTCAAAAGCCTCTTCTACCCTCTACTACGACACGAAGAGCCCTGAAACCCACCGTCCAGCAACTCACCGGACCTGCCGGGGGGTTTTGTAGAAAAGGGGCCCGAATCCTTGCTGGCCCCAACCTTGAGAGGATCTCGAGGTATATGTTAGTCTAGTTATATACTGTCAGGGTATAATCGGTAGACTGCTACTAGCTATTTAAGCTTCTATATATCTGAAAACCCTCCGCATCGCAACGAAGCCAATTTTCCGGAGTTCTTCGTTGTCCATAGGTTTTGTCATGTTTGTATCTTTTTTTTGAGGCCCGCAGA